CCCAGCAAGAGCCCACCGTGGGCCACGCAAGGGTCCTAAAGCTTCACCCGCAAGACCGTGGCAGTAGGTTCTATCGTTATCCCCACTGAACAGAAAGGGAAATCCAGGCAGGGAACAGTCTACAACCTGTCCAAAGTTCTCCCCTTAGTAAGCCTTGCTCTGAGTATGAACATTCGCCCGTCAAAACAGCAAAAGACAACTGAAATTGTACGCAAGCACAGGCTTGGAGCGCTCTCCCCTCAAAAGATACCGGATTGGCCGATAAACAAATGGAAATTTGCTCAAAATTATTATTAGGCTTTAGAGAAATCAAATTCACACCCACCAGGGGTGTTTGTTTTAAGTGGGAAATAACAGGCTGTTGGGAAGAGCGTTGAGAAGCCTTGATGCTTGTGTGTTTCTGGTGGGAGTGAGAGATGGGGCGGCTGCTGTAGAGCACAGAAATTCTCCTCGAAGTACGATACAAGCCTGGGGAGGTGGTTCAGTCAGTAAGGTGCTTTGCCCTGCAAACCTGGGGACCAGAGTTCAATTCCTAAAACCCATAAAATTATTTTGTTTGGCTTAAAGTTGGTTGTAAGGCGGTGGCACTCACTTGCAATCACAGAGGCAGGCAGGTGGAAACAGGGGGATCCTTGGGGCACATGGGACAGTCAGTCCAGCCTAATGGAAGACCCTGACTCAAAATAAGGTGGGTGGCGTTTTTAAAGAATTACACCCCAAAGGTGGTTCTATGACCTCTACCCACTCACTGTGCACACGCACGTGCACACACACACACACACACACACACACACACACAAATGTGCATACACACAATAACAACAAAACTCAATGGAAATCACATACAATCCAGCAATTCCCTCTCTAAGTAGGGACTGAAAGGAATTGAAAGCAGTTACCAAACAAAAGCATGTACCTGAATGTTTATGCCACTCCAGACAGCTAAAGCGTGGTAGGAACTCAAAGACTCATCAACTACTAAACATGAGGTGGGACATAGATCCACTCAATGGAATATTGATTGACCCTGAAAAAGGAATGTTCATGCATGCTACAGCAATGATATCCTTGAAATCATAGGCAATGTATAAGAAATCAGAGACAAAAACATTATAGGACTCAATGTATCTGAAATATCTGGAATAGGCCATTTCATACGTAACAAGCAGATGTTACTGAAGACAGGAAAGCATTAAAAACAGAATGACAGCTTAAGGGACATAGGGTCTCACTCAGGGCGATGAGACGGTGGGAACTGGACAGTGGTGCTGGTGCACAACATGTGAAGGTATGAAACCCCACTGGGTTCTGGGTTCTAAAGTGGTTACCAGAGACCTAAAAAGACGCCTCAGCAGAGAAAACTCTTGACAACCGGAGGTCAATACATGGACCCACGTGGTGGCAGGAGAACCAACCCCTGCTAGCTGTCCTCTGTCTTCCAGGCTCACGGCATGGCACGTATGTTAAACAAATAAATAGATTATAAATAAATAGGTAGATAGATAGATAGATTATAAATAAATAGTTAGATAATTAGCACAATAGATAAATAAATCGGCCTCCGATGCAGGGCAGATAGCTCGATGGATCAATTCCTTGTTGCAAAACCATGAGGACCTGAGTTCAGATTTCCAGCAGCCATGCATGAGAAGTCTGGCATGCAGCATGCACCTGTAATCCGAGCCCTGGAAGGCAGAGACTTACAGGCTCCATGGTCAATCAGACTAGATTATCAATGGGCTGCAGGTTTGGCGAGAGACACTACCTCAAAAAAGACAGTGGAAAACAGCTGAAGATGTTGACTTCTGACCCCGACATGCACACACGTGTGTGAACGCATGCACACACATACCAGCACAAAATGTGCTTTTCCTATTTTGCTTCCCACATCTCTGGACCTAGGGCCACCAACGTCAGGTATATATAAGATCATAAATAATTCCCTGAAGGTGGGAGAGGTGGGGGAAGCATCCGTGTCTCCCGGCGCACTCGGGTCCTTTCACGGCGGCATAAAGTTCCAGGAAAGTTCTGGGTCCATGGTTCCCAAACTCCAAATGTTCCCAAGAATCCCACTGAGTCAGAGGGCTGGCGAAGCCTGGGAGTTTGCATGTGTAGCTCAATAGCTGTCTTCCGAGGGCCACATTTTAAGAACATGGCTGTGCAATCGCATGCCTTTCATCCATCCACAAAAGAGGTTCTCGGAGACAGGGCCTACATACTGAGAGAAATATACATATGTGGGGGGTTGGGGACACTGAACCATACTGAGTCAGTTTCAGAGTAAGAGATCTCCATCCAGGTCTCAAATTCTGTGTGTGGAAAGAGGAGTTACAGGCTCAGGGAGGGGCAAGAGAACCAGATGCAGACTCCAAGGACTAGCCCCTCAGTGATCTGCTTCCTCCAGATAGGCACTGCCTTCTAAAATATCCAGAAACTGAAATTGTGCCACTAGCTCGGAATCAAGCCTTACCCGGTGGTGGTGGTGTTTGGGCAAGGGTCTCATGTAACTCAAACTCAAGCTAAATCTCAAGCTTGCTGTGTAGCTGAGGATGACTGTAAACAGCTGGTCCTCCCGCCTCTACCTCCTGAATGCCAGGATTATAGGCATGAGCCACCATAGCCAGTTTTATGGAATACTAGTTGTCAAACCCAGGGCTTTGTACACACTATCTAGGCAAGCACTAGTCAATTCCTCTCCAAGCCAGTACAGAAGTCTTTGGGGAGCATCTCCTACTGATAACATGTTTCTGTGTTACCAGGGTAAAGGTTTGCAATTCAAGGCTGAGCTGGGATGGGTCAGGACCAGGAGAAAATTCACAACTGAACAAACAGATATTTACTATGTGCCTCCCCTCACTGTGACAGAGAGCTGGGGCCCTCTCCAGAAATGCCTGCCAATGACTAAACTATAGCACAGCCCTTTGAATACATATGAGTCTCGACCTTTGTGTACTAAGTCCCTCTGAACGGGGACCATATTCATCTATGCTCACCTAAAAGAACACACTCACTTCCTGGGTAGGGGCTCAGTGCTGGCTAAATGAAATACTAACTGCAATTTCTCACAGAATTCCTAATGTCCATCCATTTTTTCCTTATATCTTCTTGTGTGTGTGTGTGTGTGTGTGTGTGTGTGTGTGTGTGTGTGTACGTTTATGTGCACACTGCGAGCACAGCACAGTGCAGAGGAGGCCAGAGGATGACATCTGGGAGTCAGTTTTCTCTTTCCACTGTGGGGGTCCCAGGTATGGAGCTCAAGTGTGCAGGTTTGGCACTAAGTTCCAGATTTTCCATTCCCTGGAACCCCTCAGGACTTCTCCCTTTGCCTTCTATTTACTGGCTTTTTATTTCATCTCTACAAGTTGGTGTGATGACCCTCGATCTGAATAGCAAACAGAGATGCCCTAAAATATAACAATACTATGTGGCACCAGCTTCATAATGGAATCCAGATGCCATAACAAGCCGTAGGAATGTTCAAATAGGAAGAGACAAAAAGGCTATATTAGTCGTATTAAAACAATAGCCCTGCATCACAACGAACAATAACAGGTAGCATCAGCCCCAAGTTAATGGAGTGAGGCTAACGTCTTTACGGAACTTTCTGTGTAAGGTTTCAGCGGCCTTTGAGGTCTCCTAGAGTGCTTTGGGACAGCTATCATCAGGCAATCCCGTGTAAGAAGCCTGCCTCACAAGCCACAGCTTTACTTACTGTTTGGTTTTGCAGAGTTGACACAAGGAACTCCATTTTTGTCCCGCCAGGTTTCCTTCCCATTGCTATGCAGAGGTCCAGCAACTTTCTCCTTGTACCAGCCCAGCCCAACCTTCCCAGAGGCAGGACCACCCAGACACCACTCAAGGTGACCTCCTTGCCCTGCTTGAACTTTGACCGCCTAATTCTGGGACCAAGGTACAGATGAAGGCTAAGGAGTACAGAGAAGCAAGAACCCTGCTTTCCACAAGAAATCTCTCCTTTGCTGGAAGACTGGGTATGTATTTGGTGTTGAGTTATGGTCCTGTTGGTCTGACCTCGAGCGGATATCTTCCCTGCATTTTTTATTTATTTCACGTACATGTCTATTTTATCAATTCCTGTGAGTGGGTGTGTGCGTGCCACGGCATGCTTGTGGAAGCTGGGGGATAATGTACAGGAGTCAATTCTCTTGATTCATCATGCAGATCCTGGGGACCAATCTCAGGTTGTCAGTCTTGGCAGCAGGCACACTGGCCCACTCAGCCATCTCACCAGGCCCCATTCACATACTTAAAGAACAGTTTATGGGAGGGAGAGATGACTCCGTAATTAAAAGCATTTTCTGCACCTGCAGAGGACCTAGTTTCAGTTCTCAAGCCCTTTCACCCCACTCCACCCCTCCCACCCCACCCCCGTGCACACATGGTGATTCACAGGTCTCTAGTAGCTACAGTTCCAGGAGATCAATGTCCTTTTTCTGGTCTCCCGCAGTGTGGTGCACCACGCCCATCTGCACTCTATGTGCCGCCAACCGCCAACCGTTTGTGAACCAGGCAAGGGGCTGGAGATTGAGACACACAAAGACTCACAGACAGAGACACGGGTCATCCTTGATGCCAGAATGCCCAAAGAATGCCCCCTTTATTGTGTCCAGGGGCAACTTATATAGGGATAGCCACGCCCCAGCCAAATGTACCAGAAACCATTCCCCTGCCATCAGGAACTCCTGAGGGTCTCGTGCTCAGAGCAGCTGTAGGCTCTTAGGAGCCCTGTGATTCAAGTTGTTAGTTTTCAGATCAGGGGAAAACAAGTTGTTTACAAGAAATTCAGGATCTGGGGGTTCACAGCTCCCAACACCCCAGCACATGGTGAACATACATACATGCAGCCAAACACTCACACATATAAACTAGGATTAAATAAGCCTTTTAAAAATAGTGGTACATTATTTGGAACTAGGTTTACAAAGGGGAATAAGGAAAGAAATCCCCAGTACTCCCCTAGTGGGAAAAGAGACACACAGAAAGATTAGACACCAGCCTTTATTAGTGCCGCAGAGAAATGAAAAAGCAGAGGACCCCAAATTCAGCAGCTCCCAGTGATGCACTTCCCCCCTCTGAGCAAGAGAGCCCACAGTACAGACACCCCGCCCCAGGCCTGTTCTCCAGCCCCCAACTCCATCCCTCTTGGGAGGACTGGGGCTAAGCCTACTTGCAAACTGGTAGGAAGGCTCTCAGGGTCCTGTGAGTCAAGCTGTTAGTTTTCACAATGTGGGCAGGTTAGTAAAACGAAGCAGAATATGTATTTGTCATTTCCTCTGAAGGCCACTTCTAGCCTTCCCACAAAGGGCCGCAAGTTCCTGAGGTCAAAAGGCCTCATTTCTGCAGTTCCAGATCAGATGGAAGACGAGCTTCTCTCTGTCCCAGCAGCCTCCGGATCACTGCCTGGAAACCTGCTGGAGAAGAAAAGAAGGAGAAAATAATTTTAGAATGGGGGGGGGGGGAGTGGGGGGGGGGGGGGGGGGGAGGGGGGGGGGGGCGGGAGGTGGTGGTAGTGATGGGGATGGTGGTGGGAGAGTGGTGGGAATGGTGGTGGTGGTGGTGGTGGGGGTGGTGAAGAAGAAAGAGAAGGAGCTACCAGCTGTTATTTCCTGAAAATTTCCTGTGTGCACCAATTTTGAAAGATTTATTTTATTTATTTATGTGCATGTGCATCTGTGTGTGCATATATGGGTAAGGACGTAGGTGTGCCAGGAAGCCAGAAGAGGGCGTTAGACTTTCCTGGAGCTGGAGTTGTATAGGTGGCTGTGAGCTGCCAGGCGTGAGTGCTGGATCTGAAGACAAGCTCTCTAGAAGAGCAGCAAGCACTCTGGGGTTTTTTGGTTTGGTTTGGTTTGGTTTTGGTTTTTTGAGACAGGCCATCGATGATGCCAGGGCAGTAAGACAGTCCATTGACAGAACTGGAGGAGCACTCTACAAACTCCCTGGTGACATTCTGAAGGGACATCCCTGTGCCATTACAGTCACACAGAACACTCAGCAGCAAAGGTGCAGAGATTGCTCGTGACCACACATAATCAACCACCCGGTTATGCCCTGTCCTGCTTGGCCTATAAAGCCTAGAAAGGGCTAAACACAGTGGTGCATTCCTTCAGTTTTAGCACTCAGAAGACAAAGGCTGTAAGATTTCTTTGAGTTCAAGTTTAGTCTGATAGACACAGCAAGCTCCAGTCCCTCCAAACTGGGGGGGGGGGGGGGGGAGGAGGAGGGAGGGGAGATTGTTGTGGTGTTGTGGGGGAGGGGGCGCTACAGAGAGAGATGACTCAGCCTTTAAGAGCTGCTCTGCTAGAGAACTCAGGTTCAAATCCTAGCGCCCACTTGGTGGCTCATTACAGGCTGTAACTCCAGTCCCAGAGGATCTGGTGCCCTCTTCTGGCCCCTGTAGGAACTGCATGCATGTCGTATACAGATCTTTCCTGGATGGCAAATAGGGTACCATTAGCACCCCATCTGGGATCTCTCGTTGACCAGTAGGCTCCCCTGCTTTCCTTCTTGCCTGACTCCCTTGCCACCCCTTAAACTACAAGCAGTGACACCCTGGCCCCTGAGCACGCTCCTCCAGGAAGTCTCCCCACCGTGAACATATTTTCCATCGTCATTCTCCCCAAAAGAAGGCCGGGAACATACCGAGTCCGCTCCGGGGCCCTACACGGGGTGGACCAGGTTCCTATCGCAGTGAGGCTTGCAGTGGGGATTCAGCCAGTGTTCCAGAAACAGCTCCTCGGCGCGGTGCTCCAGGGCCAGCAGGTGGTGCACATACTCCTGAAGAGACAAACCAACAAAATGAGAGGCTCCTGGAACTCGCTTTGTAGACCAGGCTAGCCTGGAGCTCACAGAGATCCGTCTGTCTCTGCCTCCCGAGTGCTGGGATCAAAGTCGTGTGCCACAGACCCAGCTTGCTCCTTCTTCTTAACCTCAGTCTTTCACACAGCCCAGTGGGAAGTAAGCCAGCAAACGAAGCCAGATGGTACAGCCTGCAGGGTCAGCCTCACTCTGGAAGAACCCTGGGCGCCATAACTGTGAGACGGGAATCACTACAAAGTATGTGGGAAGTGGAACCACTTAAACATTTTTAAGTAACTCTAACAAAACAGCGGTGTTAACCAGAAAAGTGGCATTTCACCTTGAGAGAGAATGAACATATTCAGTCATATAGCATTTGTGACAAGATACGTATCTATATCAAATTTTATATAGTAAGTTATTATATGTTATATATAATAACTATATATAATTGTACATATATATGGTTTTTCAAGACAGGGTTTCTCTGTATAACAGTTCTAGCTGTCCTGGAACTCGATTTGTAGACTAGAATGGCCTCAAACTCACAGAGATCCACCTGCCTCTACCTTCCAAGTGCTGGAATTAAAGGCGTGCGCCACCACCGTTCAGCTCAAAAATATCTTAAAGCACATGAGCCTTTCTGGAGCACTGAAAAGCCTTTAACAGAGGGCCTGGCTTAAACTTTAAGATTTTTGTGTTTTGAGAATGTCCTCTGGGAACTCTGTAGCCAGTACTAAATACAATCATTAACAATTTAAAAGAGGGGGTGGCGCTGGGAAAGAGTGCAGTTGGTAAAGCACTTGTCATACAAGATTAGGGCCTGAGTTCAGATCCCCAGACCCCACAGGAAGCAGAAATGGGGGTAGTGACGTGTGCCTATAATTCCAGCACTGATGAGGCTGACAGAAGGAGCCCAGGACTTGCTGGGCAGCCAGTCTCTCAGAATAAATAAGTTCTGGAGACAGTGAGAGGCCCTGTCTCCGAAAAAAAAAAAAAAAAAAAAAACCAAAGTGAAGAGCAATTGAGAACCTCTGGCTTCCAACTGCACGTGCACACAGCTGTACCTGCACACCTGCACAGAAAAACATGCGTACACAGACACCATACATGTGCACACATTCATAAATGTATACTTGTACAGGAAAACATGTATACACAAACACCATACACATGGTGCACACATCTCTACATGGACACCTACACAGGAAAACATGCATACACATACACCATACACATGCACACATCTGTACATGGACACCTGCACAGGAAAACATGCATACACAGACACCATACATGAGCACACATACTCACAGAAAGCCAGATGTGGTGTAGTAGCTATGTAGCTGTAACCCCAGCACACGACAGGCTGAGGCAAAAAGACATACATTCAAATTCAGCCCAGGCAGCATAATGAATCTCAGGCTAGCCTGGGCTTAGTATGAGACCCTGTCTCCAGAGAAAAGAAGTGTTATAGGGAAGGAGGGAAAGGTAACACCATCCTTGACGAGGGCCTAAAACACACAGCCAGGTAAAGCCTTGCCACCTACTTAGCCGCAACTGTTGCTTTTTGGCCCTGGAAAAAATTACACTGAGTGCAGTAACCCAGGCTCAGAAAGACAAACACCACACATTCTCTTTCATAAGCAGATCCAAACTCCGACGTTTGGGGATACAGCCCTCACGTGGTGCACATACATACTTGCAAGGAAAATACTCCTGTGCGTAAAATAAAAAAAAAATAAGTCTATAAAATAATGTTTAAGTAGAGAGAGGGCTACATAGAGAGACAGCGTCTCAGAAACAAACAAACCCTGGGCTCCAGTGATCCTCTCTCGTAGCCCTCCTGAATAGCGAGGGACTAGGGCACATGCTACTCAAGCCAAGTAGGGATTTCCATTGGTTTGTTCTTTATGGCAACAGCCACAGTACACTAAGAGTGCGCCTTAGTGCCTGGTGCACAGTAGGGCCTCAGCACAGCTCCCTGAAGACATCTACAAATGAGAACATGACAAGACTGCTTCTGATCCTATTACGTCCTCGGTGGAAGGTCCCTCGCCATCTGTGTCGATTGTCTCCCTGTAATAGCCAAGTGTACATAAAAGTCAGTATCTACTTCACAGCGGTTGAAGTCATCCCCGAAGAAAAGTCATCAAAATAGACACACACTGAGAACAAGAAAAAAAGCCAGCACCGGTTTCCATGACACTTGAGTATTTATTTTAAACGTCAGGGAAATGAATACGCCACAAAGGCCTGAAAGCAGTCATTAGTCAAAGATGAAAAGCCAAGCTACAGACCTGCTAGAAACCACAAATTCAACAATTGCACTGGCCGAGTCTGAAATGGCCCCGCGTTAATGAGCATCTCAAATGTTCCTGGACTGGGAAAGCGGAGGGAGATGGAAAACAGGTTTTTATTTCTTTAGATTCTCTTCTCTGGGGAGGGAAGAAATTAAACAAAAACAAAAACTGGGATTCGTGTTCCGTGTCAAATGCCCATTGTAATGATTTAAGTGAATCACTCCCCAGTAGTGGGAATGGAAACTGCGCATAGACCCTCACTGGAGCAACATGACAACAAAGCATCCAGCGGAACCCGGCCTGACCCGAGCATGACAGCGCAAAACCTATCAAAGCAGCAACTTTTTCCAAGATGTCACCGTCCTTTCCGATGACATTTGAACAGGATTGCAGATCCATGGGCATTTGGAAGAATTCTTTGGCTCGTTAGTCAAAGCAAGGTAATCACACAAGCCGGAGGATGGCTCAGAAGTTAAGTGCCCCAGAGTCCCAAAGGCTCCGAGCCCCCAGGAAAACCAACATGCGCCGAGCGCAACAGACAGCTAGGTAATTCTGAACCGTCTTTGAGACCATGGGGACGAAAGCCTGATGCGGTCCCTCGGACATTTCTCGCGGGGATAAACATGAAAGCGTGTTTACAAAGGCTACTTAGCATCAAGCTAGCCTGAGTTATCCGCACCCAGGAAGAACATGCCTGGAAGGAACACAAGCCGAAGTGGCCCAGCTTCCTAGAAAGGCAAATACCCGGATACAGCAGTGCTCGCGAACACGATCACAGAAGACGTCCCTGAAGCCTGAATGTCATCTTTCTTAAAGAGTCTGCATCGTTCTCCCGGGCGATGGGTAAACATATTCTTCCCTAAAATTTGGAAAGATTAGGAGAGGACTAACAAGTTTAAATGAGGTAAGGAGATCTCTTTGAATAAACTCCAGGTTCACAGTAGAGTTCTATCCTGTTGAGTCCACCCCACCACCACCACCCATCCCAGGAAGCACAGAGACAGAACTAGTACTTAGTAAATGCCAATCATCGGTTTGGTGCTGGAGACCCAGAAGTGAAACAAACTGTCCATCTCCTAAAGCCATTTACAATGGTTTAATAGGAGAGACATAAAAATATCAAAACTGGGAACTGTAGAAATGGTTCAGTGGTTAAAAACCCACATGGTCCATGCGAAGGACCCAAGTTCACTTCCCCAAGCTCCTATTGGGCAGCTCTCAACTGCCTGTAGCTACTGCTTTAGGGAATCCAGCTCCCTCTTCTGGACTCCACAGGCACCTGCATACACATGTGTGCATACCCACACACAGACAAGCACACAAATGCATAACTAAAAAATGATGCCTGCAAAAGCAACCTATGGACTGAACCACCTGCCATATACTATGGTTTTTTCCTACACACACACACAGGCCTATGGTGAAGTTTAGTTTACAGGCTGGTTCAAGTAAGAAACCAATGACAATAATTAATTATAAACTAGAACAATCCAAATGTTATGCTACAGAGATAGAGAGGTAATTCAATCAGTAAAGTGCTTGCCCCTGCACAGAGCAGGGCCTGTCTCAGGAGAGGCTGGGTCTGGGTAGGGAGAAAGTTACTGAATTATCCACAATAATGACAAAGAAAGTTGGCCAATCAGACAGTTAATAAAGTACTTGTCTTGCAAGCATGAGATCTTGGGTTCAATCCCTGGAACCTACATTTAAAAACAAAACAAAACAAAACAAAACAGGCATATGCTTTGGAAATCAGTATGACAGTTTCTCAGAAAATTAGGAAACAGTCTACCTCAAGACTCAGCAATACCACTTTTGGGTATATACCCAAAGGATGCTCAATCATACTACAAGGACATGTGCTCAGCTGTGTTCATAGCAGCATTATTCGTAATAGCAAGAACCTGGAAGCAACCTAGATGCCCCTCAAGAAAAGAATGGATAAGGAAAATGTGGTACATTTACACAATGGAGTACTACACAGCAGTAAAAAAAAACAATGACATCTTGAAATTTGCAGGCTAATGGATGGATCTAGAAAAAAACATATTTAGTGAGGTAACCCAGACCCAGAAAGACCAATATAATATGTACTCACTCATAAGTGGCTTTTAGACATAAAGCAAAGAAAAGCCAGCCTACAGGCCATAACCCCAAAGAAACTAGATAACAAAGAGGACCCTAAGAGAGACATGTATGGATCTACATAAGAAGGAGAAAAAGACAAGATCTCCTGAGTAAACTGGGAATGTGGGGATCATGGGGGAGGCTAGAAGGAGAGGGGGGAGGGAAAGAGGGGAGTGAAGAAAACTGCACAGCTCAATAAAAACAACTTTAAAAAAAACAGTCATAATGGTGTGTACTTTTAATCCCAGTGAGCAGATCTCTGAGCTCCCTGGTCAGCCTGTCTATCCTACTTGGGGAGCCCAGGCCCGTGAGAGACCCTGCCTCAAAATACAAGGAAGATAGAGGTAGGAAGCTCCTGAAAAATGATACTCAAGGTTAACCTCTGACCTCCACACATAAAAGCACAAATGCGCACGTACACACACACACACACACACACACACTGTACTTCCCTTCTTCCTGTGAGGACACAAGATGACGCAATGCTTCTGGGGTGGGATGCAGTGAGCTGAAGGGCAGAGGCTGTGTGTGCTGAAGCTGGCTGGAGGA